CAGGTCCCTTCTGACACTAGAAACTATGAAACTATGAAAACAGCAATTCACAATATGCTCCCAAGTTGCCTTGAGTAATCCCTTGATATGTTATGGATGGATGGAGGGCTGCATGCTGGAAGGGCAAGAGAGAGGGAGGCAGGCTGGCAGGCAGCCTGGTCTGGCCCTTCTTGGTTACTGGCCGTGTCCCAGCAGGATTTTATTTTTGGTTTATATGGCATGCATAGCCAATGGGGCGGGTGGGGTGGTTTTTGGAGACCTGATGACCGTGCAACTTTTATGGAGTCATGGCATTACTGGCAAGTTTCAGGGTGGACTGTTATCGGATGGAGGTCAAATGCTTGGCCAGTGCTAGTGTGCAGCCATCATTTCTTGCAAGAAAGGAGACTAAATAAACCCACCTACCCCCAGAGGTAAGCATGGACCTCTCAGGGCCTTTAGCCTTTAGCAACTCTATGAAGACTTTAGCAATTCATTACAATGTTCTCCATCAGAAGTGAGTTGGGTGGGTGGGTAAGTAGGAGGGAGGAAGGGAGGCTGCCCCCTCTCAGGTGGAGATATATGGTTGTTCCAACTCCTTTACATTGTAACTTTGGAATCTTTGCTGGCCACAAAGCTTAGGGAGGGAGGGAAGGGGTCTCCGATGGGTGGGTGGATAGGGGAGAGGGAGAGAGGGAGGAAGGAAGGAAGGGAGGCATCTTGCACCCCTTCCTTGTTACTAAACATGGGAGGCAGGCATGGTCCCAAAGGGACCCCCTCAGGTGGGGGCCCCCAAGCCCCTCAGGTGGAGATGCATGGCCTGACTCAGCTGGCTGGCAGAGTTACATTGTGACTTCTGTTACATTGTAACTTCTGAATTTTCCTGGCCACAAAGCTAAGGGAGTGAGGGAGGGGCCTCCTCGGAGGGGACAGGACTTTCTACTTTCTGATATCCTTATTTATTTTAACACTTCCTTCCTTCCACAATTCAGAGAAGAAACTGAAGGAGACAGAAACCTCGAGGAGACAGAGTGGTAGGTGGGTGCCAGAAGACATGTACCCCAGTTCGAATTCACTGGGATATGGCCAGTAACCAGGAGAAGGGCAAGAAGACTATGAAATGGGCCTGCAAAACTTGTGCAACTCAAGCTGATGATTGGGCCAAAGCCAGTGAAGAAAGCTCAGCTTCCTTTGTGGCCAGCAACAACTCCAAAGTTACAAGGGTGTGATGGAGAGGTATAAAACAGAGGTGGGAGAGTGGGGTGAAGAGCCTGCAGACCTGGGCCTACTACCTGGACCCTAGAGGTCTTGGCCAGCAACCAAGAAGAAAGCCTTCACAATTCAGAAATGAAACAAGCATCAGCTTCCTTTGTGGAAGGCCCCACCTGTGCCCTGAGCCTTCTGCTACTGCAGTGGTCATAGATCCCAATAACACCTGCAGCAATGAATGAAATGGCCCTGGAGAACTTGTCCAGCTCATGCTGATGCAGGAAGCAGGGAGGGTTTTCTCCAGCAAGAAGCTTTTCCCCAGTGAGAAGATGTACCCCCATCTGAATTTTCTGGGACATGGCCAGTAACCAGGAAGAGTGCAAGAAGACTATGAAATGGGTCTGCAGAACTTGTGCAACTTGAGATGATGCTTGAGCCAAAGCCAGTGAAGAGAGCTCAGCTTCCTTTGTGGCCAGCAGTGATTTGAAAGTTGTAAGGGTGCAACAGAGAGGTGTAAGCCAGAGGTGGGTGAGTGGGGCAGAGAGCCTGCACACCTGGGCCTACTACCCGGACTGTGGGAGGGAACTTGCTAGAGGTCTTGCAACTTGAGCTGATGCTTGGGCCAAAGCCACTGTAGAAAGCTCAGCTTCCTTTGTGGCCAGTAATGATTCAAAGTTACAAGGGTGTAATAGAGAGGTCTAAAGCAGAGGTGGGCAAGTGGAAGTTCAGGATGTGTGTGATGTGTGCCCAGGATGTGTGGTATGAGTGCTGCAAGAGGCAGATGGGGGGGTGGAGAGTTGATAAGGCAGATCTACCTGCTTTGAAATGCTGGGATAAGGAATTGAACTGTTATAGTTACTATTGACCATTAATAAATCATAATTAATATTACTATTACAAGCTCTTATTAATATTACTACTGAAATTAATAGTATTACTGACTTCTTTATTAGTGTTACCCATTATTATATTATAAGTCTATATAAGTCAGGATGAAAGTCAACTATAATTATAATGCATAGTAGTTCAGTTGTTGAGAGAATCCTGAAGGAAGTTTTGTCATCCTCTTCATCTTCTCTTTTCTCCTTTTCTTTTTCTGCCACTTGTCACACTAGCAGGGATTGATCAGCCTGCAGCTAGCAGCGGAAAGGGATCTAAAAACCGGAGGGAGGGAGGATAGAAAGAGCATTGGAATTTGTATTGGTGTCTCTTTTGCACCTCGCATACCTTCCTTTGTGCCCATAAAATTCCACCAGCCCCATTTACTATAAATTTGAACTAAACAAAGCATTCCCCCCAACCAGAGATGACCCTATCAGTGAGCAAGGCAGTGGCGTACCAATGGCAGTGGGTGGGGCAGCTTCCCCCTGCACAGATGTGAAGGGGTGCCATTGGCAAGTGTGAAGGGGGCACCACCATTTCGCACTGTTTGGCCCCCCTCCTCACTCACCCCCACTGCTGAAACTGCCACAGAAGGCAGCTTGTCTGGGGCATGCAGGAGCGAGGGTGGCAGCACCCTGGCCTTGTACCCTGGGCCCTAGAGATCGCCGGTATGCCACTTTTGCAGGGCCTTGGGCAAATTAACCTTCCCACCCCTCCATGAGCCAGTCCCATGTGCCGCAGCGAGGGAGGGACTTGGTAAGCATCCAGATGTGAGGCCAGTGGCGATGCTGAGGAGTTGTCCCATCCACTCCACCCATCTCTGCAGGGCCCCAAAGCACTGCACCTGGGGCAGGTACTTGTATTCATGCCCCCCTAGGGATGACCCTGCTACCCTCAGGTCACAGACAAGTGTCAGGTGTCACTTACCAAAGGTGGCGTGTACCACATCACCATGTCCTCTTTCAAGTTGCATGGCACAGAGGTGAAGGCATCAAAAGCACTTGAAGCTTCACTGCACCCCACTTGATCATCCTGCCATCTTCTCAAACCCTGGATTTGCACTGCTGTGCCCCCCAGGGGCAAGTCTCGTGACTGGGATGAGTCCTTCTCTACCCCCGCTGTGCTGTCTTCCCTCATCCACCTCAAACCTCCCTTGTCAATACAGTGAATGAGCATCCCAACTTCTGCTCCCCCAATTTATAGTTTTTCAGTGGGGCAACACCCCCCCCACCAGAAGCCTCCTTTTGGTGTGTAAAAAAAACAAGACACTCTGGTGCTTGGCTGGAAAAGAGCATGAAGAGAAGGCAGAAAAGTTTGCAAAATGTCTGGGTTTGTGTGGCAGCAAGGCATGTCTTAAACTCCATGCTGCCCCCCACCACCCACAGCCTCACTTTGGTGTTCCAAAACAAAGGAGGCAGTGCCTGTCACCTGGCTGGAACAGAGCGTGAAAAGAATTTGAAAAAGTGAATTTTCAAAGTTTCCATCTAGGGAAAATGCAAGGGTTGTGAAGGATGAGCCAAAGAGCCTTGAAAGGCATGAGCCCCTCTGGGTGACTTTGCAAAGTGGCTGGTGGCTTGCAGAAAAGCAAGTCAGGCTGTTGGGGTGTGACGCACTACTTCCCTTCTCCCAACTAAGGGAGGTGAAATCAGAAGCAGTAAGTATGGCCTCAAAAGTGACTTTGCAGTGTGGATGCTGCCTTTGCAAAATGCTGGTGTGCTAGCACTTGTGTGTTGCAACCCACCTAGGCAGCCCCCTCTGTTTAACTCTGGAGGCCCCCTGTCTACCTGTGCAAGAGAGACTGCCAACCCCTCCCTCCTGGCACCATGCAGCAAGTGGCAGGAAAAACAGAGAAATGAACCTAAACAATGAATGAAATCCACCTTCGCAACCAAGCTGTGTAAGGGTGGATATGGAGGCAGACACAGGAAGCCAGGAAACCATGAGGTTTTATTGTTTGCAACACACCAAGGTTCCCCCTAAGTTACGTGTGTGCATGGCCACGTACAATAAAAGGTCTTGCCATGCACCTGCCCAGAGAGGAGCTGGGTTGTGGCTTCCTGTAAACTTTGGGCATGGAGCATGGTGAAGGAACCAGGGCTGGCGCAGGACACTCGCCGGCAGTAAGCTCCTGACTCCTCTGCTCCACTTCTCACTCAGGGCAGACAGTGGCTCTTCCATGAAGTGAGGTGGGGGGAGGGAGGGGCTGGGGCAGAGCTGGGCACCATGTGGGCTCCTCTGGTTCTGTGGAACTGCTCTGCTTCCCAGCCCCCTTGGGCGAGCTCCTGTATAAAGTGGAGTCCTTTACTGTGGGCATATGCATATGACAAGTGAGTGCAAATTCCTACTAAGGAATATGCTATAACACAATAGTTTCTCAATAAAGTATTCAGTATGCGGTTTGACTCTGTATTGGAGCCACTGCTTCCTTGTAGTGAGAGAAGAGAGGCCAAGGAGCAGCTGAAGGCAAAACCTAGCTATTCAGTGAACAGAAGAAACTTGGAAAGCAACAATCCTTAAAGAGACTTAGGTGTAAGAGTGGATAGATAGCAAGTTAATTAGGAGTTTACATTGTAACCTGGCATCAGGCTACTGTCATGCTGGGATACAATGTCCAATGTGTCTTTTCTGTATAAGCTAGCTATGGAGCTTCAGTTAGTTACCTGTTTTAGTGCTGTTGCACAAAACTGTGCTGGGTGTCTCTGCAGTTTATAGGCATGTACAGAGAAATGCACCAACTTGGCTAAATTGCATCCCGTTTGGGCACTAGCTTGGTTAAAGTGGGCATGATTCTACCATGCAACATATAATGTTGCTTTTTCTATCATTCTAGGAAGGCCGATATCTTCCCTGCAGCCTCTGTAAAGGATCTTTATATTCATTGCACATCCACTTAGTAAGGGACCCTTACTGCATCTTCTAAGTTAAATCCTCAAATTTTACAATATTATCCTGGACATATATTTAAGATGTATTTCTGCACACTCTGATAGGCATCAGTGAAAGTGTCCTGTGACCTCTGTAATTCATCATGGGACTCATCAACCATGTCTTTGAAATTCCATATGGTGTCTCGCACTTCCTCGAGGGTGGCATCATCCTTATGCAGTGACTCATGGAGTTCATCCTGCCAGACTTCTGTGCATTCCACTCTGGCTACTGAGGACTCCGCCAAAGCCTCCAGCAAAGTTTTGCAGGGCCGTCTCTGGTCATTGTGAAAATCTCTGCAGCGCTCTGCTGTAGTGTGAGCGGAGTGCTGTTCCGGGCAGCCATGGGTCACAGTGGCTGATTATCAAAGAAAAAAACAATGGTTGTCTCCCCTGAAGAGGAGTAAAGTACACACTCTCACTCCCACCATGCGGTGCACAAAATGTCAGCAGGCACGGAAACAAACCCCGCAAAAGTGGGGCACCTCTGCTACATTACAAGCTATCAAACCCGTGATGCATCACGACTGAAAGAACATGGTGACCAACTCACAGCAACACATGAATTTCTCCTCCTCTCCACCGGCTCCCCAAATCCAACCAGCATGAACCCAGGAGTTGTCTGGCAGTGGCAAGAGGCACATTACAAGAGACTTACCAGATCCAGCATGCTAAGTGGCACTAAGTGTATGGTGACTGACGGTTCTTCCTGCCACTCATGGCCAGGGAGCAAGGTGCAGTCTCTGTACAGCTGAGACATGCTCATAGTTTCACCCTCAGGAGGGGCTGCTGCTGCCTCCTCCTCCTCCTCCTCTTTCTCCTGCCCAACCCCGGTACTGAAAGTCTCCATACCCGGGTTGTCACCCACATCCTTGGAGAGAACAATGGACAGCCTGTCAGAGAAGGGAGCAATTGTGTGACCTGCCCCAGAATGAGAGCGCTCATCTTTGGCTCTGTAAAACATTTATCTCAAGGACTTGATCTTGCACTGGTTCTGGGTCCGGTCATGATTGTGCCCTCATGCCTGCGTGCCTTTTGCGATCTAGACATAAACAGGTTTATTCCTCCTACTTTCCAGTCTGTCTATGATCCTTTGAGACAACCAAATGTTGATTAAGTCGTCTAGTTCTTCCTAGGTCCAGCTGGGTCCATGGGCATTGGAGAGATAATCCTCCTGGGCCATCAGCTTCATACTGCTGGCCTTGGCTTTCTGAAACATGGCAAAGCAATTTGTGGTTAACAGCACAAGCAATTTGTGAAAGGGGGCTGGCAAAATTGGGGGCAGGCACCTTTATACTCAGGCTGGGCTTGCATGAGGGTCTGGGAAAATTCCAAGGATTGTGAAGCCATTACCTGTAAGTGTCAAAACACCCAAAGGTGATGAAGCACCCAGTTAAACAACAAAAAAGACCTGATGATGGCGTAAATAAGGCCATTGTACTTTGGAATGGCTGCTCAATGGCCCAGAATGTTGCAAAAATTGTTATCTACCTGTCTGCTTGTGCAAAATAATTTTATTATAGAAGGACAGCCTGTTTTACATAAAGTGGCAAAAGTTTTGAGTAGCCTACATTACCAGGAGAGAAGTAGGCAAAACATTTTTGTTTGCAAGCTTGATTACATCAGAACACTAGTAGCTGCTAAGCTCAGGATGAAAGGATGTTCAAAAGTCCCAATGCCTTGGGGTGCCAGGGTGAAGTGTTGAAAAAGCAGCTACACAAAGCTCCAAGCCACACAACACCCTACAGTCCCTGCCCCCTGCTTGGTGCAGACAGGTGAGAAGATGCTGCTGATGGACAGGGACAAAATGGAGAATAAGGGTGAAATGCATGAAGATGGAGAACAATGCAGTGAAGAGTCCTCCGACATGGAGAATATGGAGGACATGGGTGAGCAGGAGGAGGAGGAGGTGTCAGTACTGCTTCTGCAAATGCTATTTACCTGGGGATTACTGCTGCAATGCTTGAAAAGGATAGGAACTGTGCTACAGTGTCCACTGGCAAGTTATGTTCCTGGTTTGACAGCATTAATGACAATAATAATAAGAAGATACAGGTACCCAGAGGACTTGGCATACACAGAGGGAAGTGGAGAAGTGGAATTTGACTGGGCTCTGTTGAGAGTCCTGAGGAGAACCAGAATCCACAAGGTTTGTGAGCCTGTGAGAGCAGCTTGGACTGGTGGGAGTGAATCATGCTGATGACTTGGAACGACCGACAGTGGCTGAAGATGTTCTGAATGAAAAGGGAAATGTTCTATCACAGGGGCAGGCAATTATTTTGGGTGGAGGGCTGCTTACTGAGTTTCAGCAAGCCATTGAGGGCTGCATGACAGGCAACCCAGGACATATAAATATTAATTTTCTAAATTTTTTTAGGGGCCCCATGGGCCAGCTAGAACAGCCTGCTGGGCCTTATCCAGACCCCAGGCCACATTTTGCCCACCCCTGTTCTATCATATCATCTTGATGCTGGTGCCCCACATGATGAGGCAAGACACTAACATGTGTTGGGCCATCCCACCAGACAAGAGGTTTGCAATGGCAATCAGGAAACTGCCCAGCCCCTTCAACCTCTGCTACATCATGAACCAGTTCTGCGTGGCTGCCTGCATGGTTGGACTGGCAACTCATGTGGTATACCAGCTGCTCAAGGAGATCACTGTAAACAAAGTTATCCACCTAGTGAATCCATAGCAAGCCATAGATGGCTTTAATGAGAAGGGGTTCCTGAACTGCATGGGGGGTTTATACAGCACTCACATCCTAGTGCTGTGCCCTGTGGAGAGTGGGAGAGCTTTCACAAATAGGAAAGAATATGCCTCATGATTCTGCAAGCCGTGGTGGATCACTGGGGCTGGTTCACAAACATTTATACTGAGTGGGCTGGCAACGCACATGATGTGCATGTGTTCAGAAACTCCCCTCTGCCTGACCTTGTGGAGAAAGGACACTACACACCCAGCATGGAGGAGACATTGATCCATGGTGTTGCCAAGTTTTGCTTGTCCACAGCTTGAGGTGCAGTTCCCCCCAAACTCCTCCACTGATCTTCTTTAAACTTGGCAGGCTTCATGGCCTCACTAGGGGCCACCCCCTCTCCCCCCCCTCCATGTTGTAACACATAGACGTGACATGAGTTTTGCTTTAAAAAATTTGAGGTACTGTTCCCTCCAAAACCCTGCACCAACCTTCTTGAAATTTAGCAGACTTCATGATCTTAGTAGAGGCTACCATCCCTGAAAGTTTTATCCAAATCAGACAAAAAACAACAATGATATTTAATTGATTCCCTGTTATACCCTATGGCCAGATCTCTGAGGTGGCTCCGAAGCTTCGGAAATGTTTTGGCCGGATCGAAGCAGAAACCTGGTCAAGAGCTCTGGATCAGATTGGATCACTGGCATCCAAAGCAGCCAGATCTGAAGCCGGATTGGATCACTGCTGACTCGCATAGTTGACTTTTTGGTGGTACTGAAAATGTAATAATTCTAGAAGTACTTTATTATGGGCATGGGTAAATGCCTTATTTGACCCAAAACTGATTGTCCCACGGTTTGACCTGTATCAGAACAGGAGCATCAAAATCATTTGCATAGCTCCTTTCTAGGCTTCTTGCTGTTCCTTCACCAGTAGGTGGCCAGCAAGAGCACACACTGGGGTCAATTGGTCCATGGAATGAATGACAATAATTATAGACATACAACTGGATGTTACAGGAAAAAGTGTTACTAATTTTTTCTACCACACTTCAGAAGCATTGAAGTGCAGGAGTGGATATGTATATCTGTACAATCCTGGACAAAAACCGTTCTCCCAAGGCAAATAAAATATCTACTTACAGCACTTCTGGTTTATATAGAATGACTGCACCCCATTTGGCATTTTGATTTGTAAATAGATATACACTTTTTTTGCAATACCTGATCTAAATAATGCATTGTTTACCTAAACTTGCTTTTTAATCTTTGTAGCAAAACTCACTCAAGATACCTGCCATATAGACGGGCATCTGTATAAACATAATAGACTTCCAGCAATTTATGGGGAGGGGACTGAAATTTCTAAATAATTAGTAATTACATTTGACTTTCTTTAATGCACACAGGACCAAGAAGAGTCTCTCTCTTTAACATGGGTGACAGGATAGGCTAAGATTAATCAAAGCATCGAGTCATCTTCTCTTCCAAAAGCTGTTACTTATCCTAGTGAATAAGCCATGTGGAATGTGCAGAACACACAGATGATACAGGATAGTAAGGCAGGCATATTGATGGAATAATAAATTAGTGGTAGTTTAGGTTGCATGAGGAAATTTTATCCAAGGTTTCTTGATGGTAAAATAGAAAATTTAAGTGGAACAGTTCTACAGAGATTCCTATAGTTATAAAATATTATTCTTATAAAGGTACATGAAATTCAACTTGATAAAGGGATAATGATTCTTACCTCCTATCTAAGGTGCTTTGAGATCTACAGATGGAAAGTATGAGAGGTATTATTACAAATATTACTGACTGTTCAGAAGCGACTAATCCAAAATGCCACATTCCTGTGCTCTGTCTCTGTATTCATAGTTATATCTATTCTCATAAGGGTATGTTTTACCTTCTCTTACTCTTAATAGCACTGAAAAGCCACCACAGCAAAGAGACAAAGAGCAGTAGCTTATCTATTCCTCGGTACATATAAGGAACAGAATTGTTTACTGAGTTCCAACTAGCCACATCAAATGTAATGGTTTTGTATATATGGTACTAATGACATGAGCTAAAGTAAATGGCATCATAGGGTGCATCCACAGATGCAAGCACATGCACTTACAGCAGATCAAATAGAAGCAGTGCAAATTTGAGCCGGGGCTTTTTGCCTCAGTGCACGTGTCTGGACATGCACTTTGGTATAAGGCAAATTGTATAAGCAGTATAAAAAACTGCCCTGGCAAGTAGCTCACTTGCTTCTGGGGGAGGAGCCTCAGGGAGGAAGTTGGCTATGCCCCTTCTTGTCCCAGGCTGCTGCAAGCTTGTTCTCAGGAGATTCTGGGTAGAAAATGGCCAGACCCCTTCTTGCCTCTGGTTACTGCTAGCTGCTAGCTTATTCTCAGAACTTTTGAGGGTAAGTAGGCCACACCCTTTCCTGCCTTGGGCTTCAGCTGCTGCTGTTGCTGCCCCCTCCATGAGGGTGGGGCTCTGCTGCATGCCGCATGCTGCTGCCCTCCCCTCAGGAGGGGAGCACCACACTGCAATGCACCCCAGCTTCTGTACACCTGCTCTGGCCTGCTGCCCAGCCCGCTGCCAAGCCATGGTCAGGAGACAGCCTGGGGAGGGGGCCTGCATTACTTGTGGGCCCCTCTGATCACTGCCAGAGCCTGAAAGTTGCCTTGCCTGCCCCAGCTGCCTTGGCAGGCCACCCCCCTCCTTCACCTCCACTTTCACCTGAAGCACATCCCGAGTGGCTGACCTGGATGGCTGCTGCCGCCACTGCTGCTGTTGCTGCCGCCATCTGTTCTGCTGCTGCCCCCTCTCAGGAGAGAGTTAAATTCCCTGCTGCACCACCTTGCACCACTCAACACCACACCTTCACTGGATTATTCCCTAATTAACTGATTGATCTTGCACTCCCCCAGAGCTGCCTCACTGCATCTGATCCTGCTTTGTTTTTCCTGCCTATTTCTCTGCTGCTGAGTGCCTGGCTGTAGGCCTGAGGGTCTCCTGGACTGATCTTCAACAACAAATAAAGCTCCTCCACTGATCTAACCATTTTTTACATCTGCCTCAGCAACCTTCCCTGTGTATTTTGCTGTTGTGTGGTAAGTTCTGTAGCCCATTCCCTCTGCCTTGGTGTTTTTGTGTGGCTGAGTAAGCCAGATCAAGTCTCCCCACCCCTTGTGTGTGTTTTCCCCCTCCCTCACGTTCCCCAAGCATAGCCCTCCTAGTTGTTTTTCCTGTGGGGCTGTAACTCAGTGAACTTCAGCCCCCTTCCCCCCCCAATTCCCCCACAACTCCAGCCTGCCCCTATTAGATTCCCAGCCCCACTATATATTTTGGTTTTCTTTATTGTTTTCCCCTCCAGGCTGCCATGGGTATCCTCAGGTAGATCCTGACTGACTACTCCCTGGTGGAAGTTTGGCATACCTGTCACCCTACCGACCCGCATACCTATGTGAGGGTGAGGGAGGAGCAGGCATGCCACTCCCGGTTGGCCTAGGTTTATATCTCTTTGCTGCACTTCGCCTGAGCCCACTCATCTGGCATCCAGCCGACCCCTTTCAGTGATTATCACCTTGTCTGCACCCAGGCCATGCTAGGGCCTGGGCATTTGGCTTCAATGCTTGTCTGCTGGAGGATGTTGGCTTCAGGGAGGCCTTCCAGGAGTTCTGGCTGGCCTGGTAGAAGTAGCTGTCAGCTTCCCCCTTGGCTTAGAGATGGTGGAATTTGGGGAAGGCGCGCATCCAGTTTTTTTGCCACAGCTACACTCGGGGGCACACCTGGCAGAGGGAGGTAGTCTGGGAGCAGCTCAAGCCAGAAGTGCTGGAGCTGGAGAGGTGCCTGGCCACCAACCCAAGCAACCTATTGCTCTGCGGAGAGTGTCAGGAGAGGTGGGAAGAGCTTCATGCTCTGGATGACCACCGTGCCCATGATACATTTGTCTGCTCGCACATCCAGGTCCTTCAGGAGATGGACTACAGCTCCCACTTCTATGCCCTGGAGAGGAGGCGGGAGGCCAAGAAGTACATCGTGTGCTTTCTGGTAGATGACAGCACCCCCTTCACAGAACCAGGTGAGGTGCACCAGTGTGTGTGGACCTTCTATGAGGATCTCTTCTCCCTGGATCTGACCGGTGCCAAAGCCTGTTGGATCCTGTGGGAGGGACTCCTGCAGGTTGGCATTGGAGGCTCCTTTCACTCTGGATGAGTTTTTGCCTGCCCTCTGCCTGATGCCTGGTAAGAAGGCACCGGGCATTGACGGGCTGATTGTGGAGTTTTACCTGGCCTCTAGGACATCCTTGGCCCAGACTTTGCCACAGTATGAGCCAAATCCGAGGGAAGTGGGGACTCCCCCTGTCATGCCAGATGGACGTGCTGACCCTTCTGCTGAAGAAGGGGGATCCCCACAACCTGAGGAACTGGTGTTCCATGTCCCTCCTCTGCATGGACTACAAGATGGCAGTGAAGGCCATCTTTCTGTGCCTGTGGTCCATGCTGATGGGCATAATCCATCCTGACTAGACATACATGGTGCCTGGATGTTCCATCTTTGACAACCTGTATCTGGTTTGGGATCTCCTTGAGGTACCGTGCCAGGAGTATCTGTCCTTCACCCTCCCTAGACCAGGAGAAGGTGTTTGACAGAGTGGATCATGGGTACCTCACAAGCACGCTGCAGACCTTTGGCTTCAGGCCCTGCTTTGTGCAGGCTTTCCAGCTGCTGTATGCCTCTGCAGAGTGTTTGGTCAAGGTCAACTGGACCATGATGGAGCCCATCCCATTCAGGAGAGGGATGCGTCAAGGTTGCCCACTGCCAGGTCAGCTGTATGCCTTGGCCCTGGATCCCTTCCTCATTCTCCTGTGGAAGCGGGAGGCAGGGTTGATGGTCCAGGAGCTGGCTGTGAGATTGGTCCTGTCAGCGTATGCTGATGAAATACTCCTTGTGGTCCAGGACTCAGGCGACCTGGTGCAGGTGGAGGCCTGCCAGGCATTGTACTCGGCAGCCTCCTCTGCCTGGGTCAACTGGGTCAAGAGCTTTAGCTTAGGATCTGCTCGAGCATGGGCTCACTGCTCTATTTGGGGGTCTACCTGTCCCCCACAGACCCCTCCCTGCCAGAGAACTGGCACCAGCTGGAAGCAAGGGAGGTGGATTGGCCCTGGGCATGGGCTCCTGATGTGTCTTCTCCCTGCAGGACCTTCAAGGGCTGCCAGAGTTCTACCAGGACCACCTCCTCCTATGATAGGCAGTGCTGGCCCAGCGCATGGGTCTACCCACAATACATCTGACCTGTTGTCTAGTCCAGGAGGTGAAATCTGCCCTACCTCCCAACAATTTTGCTCTTGTTGACCAGGTCCTGTGTGGTGGTGGTCCCACCCCCCCTTCCCCCATGTCCTCCAGCCTATTGGAGTTTGTTGTGGGACCAGCTCCTCACCCAGCCTTATGGCACTACCCGGTCCACCACCTAAGCTGGCTGGAGGACACCAGACCAGTCTGCTTTTCTACTGTCCATCACTGCCACCTCTACATGCTCATGTGCCACACAATCCATCATGCTGCCCTCACATCCCACCCAGACACC